CAAATGCTGGCAATAATTACTGTAAAATTATAGGAAAAGGGAAATTAAAATAACATTTTACTATTGGAATTACGGTTTGAAACAATTCGGCAGTATTTTAATGATTTCTAATGAAGAACTAGCAGCTTTGTTTGTGATTCATTTGTATACACGTTGATGTGTCTATGATCTCCGATATCTACTTTAGGATGTGAGCTCGTTTGCTCATATAGAACTGTAAAACAATCTGTGGCAACAAAGACAATTTTGTTACATTATTGTTATGCGCTGGGGTCCGGGATAAATAAAAATTCTACCGAAGTATAATTCTTAATTCAGGTGATCCGTTCGCTGTTTCGCTTCGAGTAGTTCCGATTACTGACTAACTTCGTGCCATCTCTGGAATGCTTTTATAGTCGATACGAAATCCCTAGATTTATCGAGTACATTCTGGGCAAGTCGAGTATTTTCGACGTGTTTCCGCTATCTGACAATAGATGGCGTTGTACTTCTAGAGTTTTCTCGACGTTACGAGTTCCTTTGATATTCCTTTTTTTTATTGCTTAGATGTGTGGACAAGCTCACAGCCCACCTGGTGTTAAGTGCTTATTGGAGCCCATAGACATCTATAACGTAAATGCGCCACACACCTTGAGATATAGTTCTAAGGTCTCAGTATAGTCACAACGGCTGCCCCACCCTTCAAACCGAAACGCATTACTGCTTCACGGCAGAAATAGGCAGAGCGGTGGTACCTACCCGTGCGAACTCACAAGAGGTCCTACCACCAGTAATTACGCAAATTATAATTTTGCGGGTTTGATTTTTATTGCACGATGTTCCTTCACCGTGGAAGTCAATCGTGAACATTCGTTAAGTACGTATTTCATTAGAAAAATTGGAACCCGCCTGCAGGATTCGAACACCGGTACATCGCTCGATACGAATGCACTGGACGTTTTATCCTTTAGGCCACAATGACTATTCGTCCTTTTGGCTATTCGGCGATAGATGGCGTTACTCTTACCGGCGTAACATTATCATCTGTCCACAGTGGTTCACTGCTGGACACAGCCCTCTCTCAAGATTCACTACAATGTCAGTGTGCTTAGTGTAGTTTATTTATTTTATTTTTGGTTATTGCCGTAGTGCTCAGTGTGCTTAGTGCCTCGCGGCAAACGAAAGGAAACTGTTCCAACTCCATACAAATTTGAGTTATCTTTTATGCGATTGAGAACGTTAAAAAAGTCGCACTAAGCACACAGGTCCGGTGCAGCCCATATCTAGCGAGTTCCCGCGACCTTTAGAAAGTCGTCAGTCCAGCACGTAGGAGGTCTAAGCACGCTGCGTTTTTCGGAGCGCGGTCGCCACACAAGAGCTCTTTAGGCCATTTCTTTATCTCTTTATCTCCATCGGCCATCTGTTCTTCGATTTACATAACAACACAAAATACCGGAAAACCAATTTTAAAACTAGGTTCCATTTGAATCAACACTGTTTTACTGCACAAAATTCGTTGTGGCACGGCTTCAGGAAAACCGGCGTTCGTTTTAGTCTTCTTTCTAATCTGGAAACGAGGTCGGTCGAATAGAAACCTAATTAAGACTGCGGTAGTATTGGTTTTAAGCAATTGCTTTTTGTTTCGATACACAGTGAAATGATTTATATATAATTAATGAATTCGGGCATACAGTTCGCTGCTACATTTGTGAAATATTGTATTTGTCGAAGACGGTCATTAGTTTGGTAGCTAAACGAAACGCAGCACGATTGCCGAGAGATGGCAGCACGATTGCGGTAACGTCGGAACTCGGCTAACTTCGTGCTACAAAAGAGCCTAGCCGATGGACGCGCGTAGACGCCATGACACTTACCAACTAGCCTTCTTGAAGAGCGGTGCCTCCGTCCTAAGACCTGTCATACGTTTCGTCTGCTAAGCTCGATCACCCTGTTCGCCCCTATGATGTCTGACGATGGTGTTAATAATTGTGGTTTCTCCGACATATTGAATAAACAAATTACGTTGAAACTACTTGTGAATTATCAATATTTGGTAGTTCTGTTCTGAAATCAATACACAATACGGAAATGGAATGTTTGGTCGCTTAAAACCATTCTCAGGATATGCATGAAAATATACATGAAAAATACGTTCGGCTCATTTAAACAAATGTATACGAGTGTATTAGTGTATTTGCGGAGTCGCCTAAGCACACGGTTCTGTGAAGTGGCCTCCCGCCGCCGCCCGTGCCGGCCGTGGAGTTTTAAATAATTGCTGCCCGGAAACACAAAGGTCCGTTTCACGCAGAAAAGTGCTCTTCCAAACGTAATATCAACATTTACTTGAGGAGAGAAGATATTTAATTCCGTGAAGAAACATAATTGTAACGGTTCGTTTTTAGGATCGGAGGAAAAATATTTGTTAGGATCTTTTGTATGGGTGTTTTGTGTAATTTATTATTATGCTGAAATCTAGCTGTGGTATGCGTGCCTTCATACGAAAGGCCGCAGGTACGGGATCCAGCGCAACTTTGTTAGTAGTGGATGGTCGGTGGATGGAGTCCATGGAATCACATGAATGCCACTGTCCATTTTGAGAAATAAAATTGCTTAGATGGGGGGACGAGCTCACAGCCCACCTGGTGTTAAGTGGTTACTGGAGCCCATAGACATCTACGACGTAAATGCGCCACCCACCTTGAGATATAAGTTCTAAGGTCTCAAGTATAGTTACAATATACTTATAGTTTCATTTTGGTATTGCAATAATGCTACTTCTTCTAACAATGCTTCGCGATGGAATTATTCAGGACAGTGATATTTAACCAAACGGGCTGGCTAACAATGTCTTCTACTGTAATAAATCACCTTGTCTATTCGTTAGCGGAAACTAAGATAGCTTGTTCAATGTTTTCTTCGGTCTTCGTGAGTCGTAGAAATAATTAGAACAATTTTTTAGGTTTTTACGGTTTCGTAGTGTTCACGGACGAATCTCGTCCGAAATGTCGGTAATAATAATGCAATGGTAATGAAAAACGCGAGATTAAACCGTAAAAAATTTTGTAATTACTGCTGTCCTACTGGTGGTAGGAACTTTTGTGAGTCCGCATGGGTAGGTACCACCACCCTGCCTATTTCTGCCGTGAAGCAGTAATGCGTTTCGGTTTCAAGGGCGGGGCAGCCGTTGTAATTATACTGAGACCTGAGAACTCATATCTCAAGGTGGGTATGGGCGGTGGACTATGGGCTTCGGTAACCACTTAACACCAGGTGGGCTGTGAGCTCGTCCACCCATATATGCAAAAAAAGTGTTTGTAAACAGTTTACTTAGTTAAGGAATCGGGATTTCCTAGTATTTGATTATATGGACTGCTTAAATTATAAGCTATCATGGGCTTTGTCGAATACACTTGAACTTGTATTCGTTCTTTGCCTATAAATTAAGCGCCTTAAATTTCGTCTGGTCTTTTATTAAAGAACTCCTTAATCCCGGCAGCAGTTTTAGCCACATTACCCGGGAGTCTACGGTGGTACAGCTATTGTAAATAACGATCGGGATCGTACAAAGAGGGTCAGTCAGTGACCACGGATGTAATTTATTAGAAATACACAAACCACACCCGACAGGTTTGATCATATACGACGAGAAATATTTCTCGTGTTACAAGATGTGAAGTTTGTTCCTTCATGGCGTAGAAACAGCCGATTGTTTTGGCCAAGCTTTTTTTTTATTGCTTAGATAGGTGGACGAGCTCATAGCCCACCTGATGTTAAGTGTTTATTAGAGCCCATAAACATCTACAACGTAAATGCGCCACCCACCTTGAGATATAAGTTCTAAGGTCTCAGTATAGTTACAACGGCTGCCCCGCCCTTCAAACCGAAACGCATTACTGCTTCACGGTAGAAATAGGCATGGTGGTGGTACCTACCCGTGCGGACACGCAAGATGTCCTACCACCAGTAAAACTAGTGATGTCTGAATATCACCCATTTCTGCCGGGAAACAAAATTTGTGTTCTGTGTACTTTAAACGCGAGTTATTTAAACGTTTTCGATAGCGTAAAAGTTAACTCAAATTTTATACAGTTGGAACAGCGCCCCTAGAGGCGAACGTAAGCAAACGTACCAACTCTATACAAAGTTGAGTTAACTTTTACGCTATCGAGAACGTTAAAAAATTCGCACTTAGCACATTGGTTTATAGGGTAGAGTGGCGTAGCTTAGTACCCCGTGGCGTAAAAGTGAGCTTTTATGCAACGGAGTCTTCAAGTTTCGAGTATCGGATTAAGGTATTACGTTGTGATATCTGTTCTTTTTGTTACAATATTTAGATTAGCAGCGAACATTTCACACATCGAATAATTGGTGCATGAATGCGATCATGCAAAGACTCGTTTATAATATACATTAGTATTCAGTAAAATTTAGATATTTTATTTTAAGTAGTTCGCTGAAAAAATTCCCAAGCACCGGTCATCGTTCTAGTCGAACCCGGCGCTTGCGACGAAGGGCTCGGCGAGTAAATTAGCCCATAGACACATGTTATCGAGCAACACTTCCAGCCTCACATAATAAATTATTTACGAACTTAGGAAATATATAGAACTTATTATTCTTATAATATAATTAGTAATTTCATAATCAAGTAAATAGTTCATTCATATTTCTTTATACTTATATTTTATTGGCGCCTTCCGCTTGACAGCTTCCAGCGCAATAAGCCTTAATGTTATTTATGTTACATAATTCGATATTATTAAATAATAATTGTACGTAAATAATCAGCAGAATAATTAAGATGAACAATGTTTAATATTACCTACTCAGTTTGTATTAAAATAGGTCAAGACGATTGTATAAATACCGGCGTTTAGCATATCTCTGTTGCATTCGTATTCTACCCACCATAACGTGTACTAANATTAAGATGAACAATGTTTAATATTACCTACTCAGTTTGTATTAAAATAGGTCAAGACGATTGTATAAATACCGGCGTTTAGCATATCTCTGTTGCATTCGTATTCTACCCACCATAACGTGTACTAAAGAGAATATATTATTTCGTGTGGATGTAAATTGTCTCAATTGTCACCGCCACCCTGAGGATCCGTTTATACTTCAGAAGCGGGATTATGCCAGGCCCATACATTGACGGATTTGAGACCGCTGAGAAACACAGGCGATACAAAATGCGACGTGTCACCCAAACCGATGCGGGGGTTATTCCAACGTTTCGGCCGGATGAAAAATCTAGTAACGTCAAGGGATGGCTGCACGAGATCGACCAGTTGGAACACGTATATAGATGGGACAACAAAGACCGCCAGTTCATCATGCAGATATGTCTTCGTGGGTTGGCTAGAGATTGTGCGATACACCACCGCAACTATACTACACATCCGCGACTGGCTACCACATGGAGAAGAGAAGGTGCTGTTGCTCCAGTTGCAAGAGGGACCGATTTTCAACCAAAAAAATGTTACACCTGCCGAAGAGAAGGTCATGAAACAAAGAGCTGCAAAGAGCCGCGCTGCGAGGTGTGCCATCGCCCGGGACACACGTCGGCCAGCTGATGGTATACGGCCAGCTCTTCACACCCAAAAGTGAGTAATGTCTTATTTACAATATACAGCGTATGCATAGATTTGCACAAAAAGATAGTGTTAATTAATGGCTCTAGTCTCATTGCATACATACACGGGCAGCAAATTAAATATTGTGTGGCATATGCTGATAAGTTAAAAAATTAAAGATTAAGTCTTTCGTGGTTACAATGAGAGGTTTTGGAGGCGCATACTCGTCGACCTCTTTAGGAACATCCCCCGTGAATGTTCATATAGACAACATTATTGTGGCTTTGTGGAAATAACGAATTACGACATCGCTGATATAGATTTAATAATCGGAGAATCAATGATAAAACAACCTAATATCAATATCACAAAATTCTGTTAAATTCGTGGGTAGTAGTGACACTTTTAATAGTACTCTTAGTGAAATAAAATTATAGACAGACTTGTCCAATGTATTTAGGACACAGCTGTATAATATCACAGTAAAGTGCTGCTTTGGATTTCTTATGAATTCTGTATATTTTGAGCTGGGCTGAATGTCCTATGTAATTTTGGGTGGACTTGTAAGGTCGAAAGATTGCTTTTTAAAAATAATTAATATCTGAGACAAAATCTTTGAATGGAAACATAATTGATTAATAAGCAGGCGTGGAAATTATTACTAATAAAAATGAGTCTACAAAGTAGTATGAAAGTTATGATACTTGACCAATCTACTGACTCAGAATTGCAAGTATCTGATAAAACAAAATCAAACTATTTCAGGATAGAGGCTGCATAAGTTACAATAAAAGCTGTGTGATGTACAACGAATAAAATCTGTGTGATGTACAACGAATAAAATCTGTGTGATGTACAATCTATGATAAATAAAAGGTGTGTGTGTGATGTAAATAAAAGTCGTATGAATTAGATAATACAAGATATAATTACTGCTTAAACATGTCAATTTCAGGTGCCATACACCAGCGACAAACCAGGCGCCAATAGCAGCGCTGATCGCCGTGGGACACGGCATACACAGGATGGCCGAATGTTATCGAGCAACACTTCCAGCCTCACATAATAAATTATTTACGAACTTAGGAAATATATAGAACTAATTATTCTTATAATATAATTAGTAATTTCATAATCAAGTAAATAGTTCATTCATATTTTTTTATACTTATATTTTATTGGCGCCTTCCGCTTGACAGCTTCCGGCGCAATAAGCCTTAATGTTATTTATGTTACATAATTCGATATTATTAAATAATAATTGTACGTAAATAATCAGCAGAATAATTAAGATGAACAATGTTTAATATTACCTACTCAGTTTGTATTAAAATAGGTCAAGACGATTGTATAAATACCGGCGTTTAGCATATCTCTGTTGCATTCGTATTCTACCCACCATAACGTGTACTAANATTAAGATGAACAATGTTTAATATTACCTACTCAGTTTGTATTAAAATAGGTCAAGACGATTGTATAAATACCGGCGTTTAGCATATCTCTGTTGCATTCGTATTCTACCCACCATAACGTGTACTAAAGAGAATATATTATTTCGTGTGGATGTAAATTGTCTCAATTGTCACCGCCACCCTGAGGATCCGTTTATACACAGTTCATTGAGCTTCTCGCCGGATCTTCTCAGTGGGTCGCGTCTCCGATCCGGTGGTAGATTCTGAGAAGCACTGCACTTGCTAGGGCTAGTGTTAACAACTTCATCAGGTTTGAGCTCCGTGAGCTCACCTATTATTAGTTTTTATTTATACTTTTCTAATTTCAAGATGTTGTCAATGCATTGTCGATTGCACCTATGATTGGTGACATGTACTTATTGTCAATTTGTCAATGATTTGTATTGATGATCACTTTGTTGGTGCAACTAAATAAATAAATAACCCCTCGAAATCACTAAAATAGATAGAAAAAAAATATAAAAAAATTCTTCGTTCAGTCCATCGCACATTTTAAGCAGTCGGCTATAACGTTCATGAGTCATGAATATGTAAACACCACGCATGAATAGAGGTCAGCCTTTGATTCGTGCCAAAAACCGAAACCGCGTGGGGAACAGACCCGTATTCGTGCCCATTCGTCTGTGCTCGGCGAGTATCTACATCAAGCATTAACTGTGCTTATCAAATGACAATCCGATGGCAAAAGTGACGAACAGTGCGATGAATTCTGTAGTCAGTTAAACTTGCGAGTGCTTTTCCGATAGCAAGATATTGTTAGGCGGTCGAAGGCAATGAAAATAACTGCTTAATCCTATTTTACTGCTTAATCCTCTTTCTGGTAGTAGGACCTCTTGTGAGCCGGCACGGGTAGGTACCACCACCCTGCCTATTTCTGCCGTGAAGCAGCAATGCGTTTCGGCTTGAAGGGTGGGGCAGCCGTTGTAACTATACTGAGACCTTAGAACTTATATCTCCAGGTAAGTGGCGGCATTTCCGTTGTAGATGTCTGTGGGCTCCGGTAACCGCTTACTACCCAGGTGGAGCGTGAGCTCGTCCACCCATATAAGCAACAAAAAATATTATTGGAGTAGGGACCCCACATCATGGGCCTAATCACAAGATCGATAACTCATATTCTATCACATGTTCTATCAATTACACGTAAGTAAGATGATGACTACAACAGAAAGAAAATGGGAAAGATATTGAGTAGGCTGTGCTTGCGTGTCTCTTTGGAGAACAAACATTTTCGAGTCTGTGTGTGCAAAATGCGCATGTTACAATTATACCGATTAATTTTTCGTTTCGGATTCGCATCTAAATAAGCTAGATCGTTCAATAGTGCTGTCGATAAACTGACCGCCAATAGAATTTATGTGAAGCTTCGATCCACGCTCTAGAGATTTCGGAAGGTGCACTGATGTATTTCACCCAACGGTCCAGTTAGACCGGGAGTGTGCTTAGTTTTAATTTAGTTTCATCTTATAAATAGCAGTTCTTATGTTCTGTATCAGACCGTCACCTTATTATCGGCACAAAATCAAAACAGAAGTAAGTACTGCCAGTTATCTGACCTGTGGCATTAAGTAAGAGGGTTAATGACCTTTGCTTTTACAGGCTTTAGATTGCGTACCTTCGAAATATTAAAGATAATACGATACGGGTTTTGGCATGATAAATTATTATTGTTCTACTAAAGTTACGGCGCAGCGGGTTTAAAGCAGCATCAATCGTGTTTGATTGGCAACCGCTCTGCAGGAGACCAGGCAGGAGATCGCCCTGTACATACTTGGCGACGCATCATGGAGAGTGAGATGAGGTCTGCCAACGTGACCTGGAGTGATGTCAAGGAGCAAGAACAAGACAGGGTCAAGTGAAGACAACTTGTGAGGGCCCTAAGTACCAGCGGGGTACCCCAGGACAACAACAAAAACAACAACAACTAAAGTTAATGAACTATGTCAGTAAATGTAGCTTTAATAATGCTAACTTTGATAAACATGAGCATTCTTGAACCAAATTTTTAATAAGTGTAAACGATAAAAAAGTGCTAACTAAAAGCTGAAAGCCTATAGTACCTTAAGACAGACATAAAACACAACTGATGCATTACTAAAGACAACTGAGGCAATGAAAATTTATAGCAGATAGACGCACCGCGCAATGTACGACATAGTGGCAGTGTGAAAAATATCAGAAAATATTTTTCTTCACTTCTGGGCATATTTTAGGTAGAAATAGCATGCTTAGTGAAATTTTAAATGATAACTAGCAGACCCGGCCACACGTTGCTGTGGCTAAGGTTTTTGTTTCTAAATAACACGTGGCTAATACCAAAAATTAACAAAGTAAGAACAATTGGATTTCACTGTATTGCGTTTACTACGAAATAAATTTCACTTATACTGTAGTCTCAGCAACACGTGGTGTTTATGCCATTAAATTGTAGCTTATGTGAGATATTGGTATTTTAAACATAGCGCCATCTATGAGATATTAATGTTAGACAGTATTACATTTGTTTGTTAAAACTGATTTAAAGCGCCATCTTTACTGGTGGTAGGGCCTCTTGTGAGTCCGCGCGGGTAGGTACCACCACCCTGCCTATTTCTGCCGTGAAGCTACTGCTTGAATTGGTGCGTTTCGGTTTGAAGGGTGGGGCAGCCGTTGTAACTATACTTGAGACCTTAGAACTTTTATCTCAAGATGGGCGGCGCATTTACGTTCTAGATGTCTATGGGCTCCAGTAACCACTTAACACCAGGTGGGCTGTGAGCTCGTTCACCCATCTAAGCAATAAAAAAAAAGACTTATGAAACTTACAATTAATAACAATAATCGACATAAGAAATCATTTTATTGTTAATTAATAAACGTTGCGACCATTAATCGAAATAAAAACCATCCTACGCCCTAAGTTGGAACAAAACACATATTATTATTTAAAAAAAAAGTTAAAATCGGTTTAGTAGCTTAGGTTTCCATCGCGGACAAACAACCTGACACTTAATTTATATGTACTAGACGATGAGGAGCAAAGCTCGTTTTTTTTTGATAAATTTTGTTTTTTAGCACATATAATTAAATACGAATTACATTTTGATAAAATTATGAAATATTCCAAGATCGCTTAGACATTTTTAAGTGAACACGTGAGTTAAAAAGACTCAAATAATATAAATATACAATTCATTTTCTTCGTCTAACCTTAAACCAAACACCATCGAGTTAATAAGTACCTTCTCAATTATGAAAAATAGTATTATTATTCGCCAATAGATGTCGGGAAGAGTCATAAAGTTGATTATCGATAAAGTTGCAAAATTATAATTTGCGTAATTACTGGTGGTAGGACCCGTTGTGAGTCCGCGCGGGTAGGTACCACCGCTCTGCCTATTTCTGCCGTGAAGCAGTAATGCGTTTCGGTTTGAAGGGTGGGGCAGCCGTTGTAACTATACTGAGACCTTACAACTTATATCTAAAGGTGGGTGGCGCATTTACGTTGTAGATGTCTATGGGCTCCAGTAACCACTTAACACCAGGTGGGCTGTGAGCTCGTCCAACCATCTAAGCAATAAAAAAAAAAAGTTGATTGTTGAAAACACGAATAAAACAACATTTTCTGAATGTAAATCGTAGCTAGATCGATTTATCGGCCCCGAAGTCGATTTTTTCGTTTGTCAAACTTATGTAGGCAAATAAAAAATTGGATATGAAGTGCTTAATCGAATACGGTGAAATAGCTTACTCAGTCCTTCCTCACTGCAATCGTTGTATAATATTACTTTGTATGAATTAAGTTTGGGAAATACGGGAACATATTGTGGGTAGGAATGCCGGTTGAAAATTAAGGACACTCGTGGTGTATACTATGGGACTTTTAAAGAAAAGGATATGCGCAGCTTGACTTAAACGACTCTCTCTCTGTCTCTTTGTCTCTTAAAAGTAAACTTCTAAAGCGATGTTTACGTTAGTTTTTGGAGTTTATAATAAAATAACCCACAGACACCAAACCACCAAACCCACAGACACAGCCCACTGAGTTTCTCGCCGGATCTTCTCAGTGGGTCGCGTTTCCGATCCGGTGGTAGATTCTGCGAAGCACTGCTCTTGTTAGGGTCAGTGTTAGCAACTTTCCGGTTTGAGCCCCATGAGCTCACCTACACACGCTAGGGTAAGCTGACATAGCCTCTCAAGGCTATCAGCATAGGTAGGAAAAAAAAAAGGTCACACTTCGGATATTTGATCCGGCTTGGATATTACATTTAACTGCGTGATACAATGTGCGCACGGCTTAAAGAATGTAGTAATAAAATTCTGGTGAGAGTTCACGGCTCGCAGTTTGGCAACGTATTTAACACAACAAATTTCGTTCAAGGTAATTTCTCATCTCTCTTGATAAATATACAAAAGGATTTTAACGTTAGTTGTATAGTTTTTTTAATGCTCAGATGCATGAATGATAAGATAGGTGAGTTTACGGCACACTTGATGTTAAGTTCTTGTCAGAACCCATAGAGATCTTAACGTGAATGCGGACGTCCGTCTTCAATTCTGAATTCGAAATCTTACATAACGGCTGATCTACCCTTTAGCTGTAACGTATGATTATTTCTCGGCAGAAATAAGCAAGATGGTGG